GCTTTTTTAGGCTCTAAGTGCTATCCTGCTGACTCACTTCCGACTTCTCGTTCATCATGCTCAGCTCCTGAAAATGGAACAGAATGGAAAGGGCCGGATATTATACTGTCTGGTGATGTGTTTAAGGGGAATTGAGTGTCTGTCAGGCCAGACCCACGTGGATGGAATGCTGGGGACATGAACTGAGCAGTGCCCAAAGTGTATTTCTCATCTGACACTTAGGACACGTTGCCTTGGATTGTAATACTAATAATAACCACCTCTCTTAGTGTCACTGATGAGGAGCCTGGCAGGCCCCAGGCTATGTGCTTTCTATAGTTGTCAATTTGAATCCTCACAACTGGAAAAATCAAGGATCTTCTCTATTTTATGAACAAGGAAATTCAGAGCAAGATAGGTTAAGGAACTTGCCCAAGATCACACAACAAGGGGCAGAGTAGGGAGTCAAATCCATGATCTTGGTCTGTGCTGTCTAATATGGTAGCCACTGGCCACATGAGGCTATTGAGCACTTGAAATGTAACTAGTTTGACTGAGGAAATTGAATTTTCAATTCAATTGAGATGTGCTGTAAATGCAAAATATACACCAGATTTTGAAGACTTAGTATTAGAATATATATATATATATATATATATATATATATATATATATACACACACACACACAAACTTCTTTTTGTATTGATTATATTGATTACATGTTTAACATGACAATATTTGGGATATATTGGGTTAAAGTATATTAAAAATAATTCTCCTTATTTCTCTTAGCTTTTTAAGTGACTTCTAGAATATTTAAAATTTCATGCGCAGCTCTCATATTTCTATTGGAGAGTTGATCTAAACCATGAACGTGAAATGGTTCCAAGCCAGTGATTTCTCAGTATTTTTGGTAAAAATTTTTTAGCGCAAATCCCCAATTTATGTATTCTTGTTTATTTATAAGTTATATACATGTACACTATATTATGTACATTATAAAGCACTGACCAAATAGACATTTTAAAAGATGAAATAAAAATTAAGCAGAAATAGAAGTTGTACTAATTCCTTCCCGGAGTCTAATGGCTCACTTTGTGCACCACAGGGAGTGTGCACACACCATTTTGGATATTCCTGCACTAGACTTAGAGCTCCTGAATGGCAGAGACCTTGTTAGGTCATGTATCTCATCTCCCCCATTGTTGAACGTAGCATCATGCCTAGGTATAGTGGCTGCTCAATAAATGTTTGTGGCAGGAATAAATAGTTCTTCGTATGCAATCACTTTCTGGAGGACTGGATGTATTTCTTTATTTCACATGTAGTGAGTGCTTTCTGGTGCTGCAAAGTAAACAAGATTTAAGAAGACTCAGCCCTTTTCTTCTAGACCAATGCTTCTCAAACTTTACTGTGTGTAAGAATCACCTGGCAGGCTTATTAAACAGATTCTTGCCCATGAGATTTTGATTCAGTAGATCGGAGGTAGAACCTGAGACTTTGCATTTCTAAGAAGCTTCCAGTACACTACACTTTGAAGGAGACTGAAATGCATTGAGAAGTTGGAAAGGCATTCCAAATATTATGAGAGGGTGGGGACAAGGAAAGAGAATTAACATCATTGAACTTTTACTATTTGCCAAGAACTTTTAAATACATCACCTATATTATTATCTTCAGAGTCAGTTGAGGCAACTGAGACTCAGAAAAGTTACTTAAACTGCATAAGTCACAGAGCTAGTAAATGGCAGAGCTTGGATTGGTATCCACTACTCCTGCACTCAGTAAATTCATGCAACTCCTCATTAAGTGCCTTCACCTTTTAGACCCTGCCCCAGGAACTTGGCATGCAACACCGAGTGGGACAGACACGCTTTCTGGCATGGTCAAACTTAGTAAACAATTAAAATATAGAATTCTCATACACTGCTATGAGGGAGGCAGTGTAATGAAGATAGATAACAGAGATACATACTCTACAACAGACTCAGGAAAAACTTTCCAGAAAAAAAAAAAAAGGTAAAATGCATATGAAAAGTAAAATTCATCTGAACGATATATTAGAAGAGTGAAGGGTGGTTGGGGAGTGTTTGGGGCTGAAGATATTCATGAAGGTTTGGAAGCAACAAACCATTTGTGGAACTGAAAGTTCCGAATGTCTGAAGTATAGAGGGAGGAGGTGATAGATTAAGGTCATTGAACAAGGGGCGAAGAAGATCAAGTGGAACTATTATTGACTTTTTTCAAAGGTAGGGGCATGGTCAGACTTGTGTTTTTAAAACATTGCTATACTCTAAGTGGAGGATGAAATAGGGGTGTGCTAGCCTACAGGCAGGGAGATGAGTTAGAGATGATAGTGGCATAAATTGGGGTAATATTGTGATAATTGGAGAAAGGCGGGTGTTAAGAAGTGTTTGAAAGTGTTTAAGACCTTTGGGGTGCTTGGGTGGCTCAGTCCATTAAGCCTTCGACTCTTGATTTCAGTTCAGGTCACCGTCTCGTAGTTGGTGGGACTGAACCCCAAGTTCAGGCTCTGACAGTGCAGAGCCTGCTTGGGATTCTCTCTCTCTCTCTCTCTCTCTCTATGCCCCTCCCCAGTTTCTCTCTCTCTCTCTCAAAATAAATAAGCATTAAAAAAAGAAAAGTGTTTAAGACTTGATGATTGATTAGAAGGGAAGGAGTGGGGCAGGCAAAGAGAAATCAAAGATGATCTCCAGGGTTCTGAGTGAAGATTTCATAAGGGCAAGGTTCTGTAAGCTTATTATTTCATATTTTAAAAGAAAAGTAAATTCAAATAAGTGAGGTTATGTGATAGCAAAAGGTTATTTTAGTAAGATTTCAATTTTCTAAAACTTAGAAAATACAGGAGAAAATTACGATCTTTGTTGTTGAGTTTATTATTCTTGTTGCTTTAATTTATATCTTGTATTTAATTTGTATTTAATTTAAGGAGAGCCTTATTATCCATGGAGAGTGGAGTTGTGAACGCTGGAGACAGCACCTCTTTTTGCCAAGATCAGAATCAACCATGGAGGACCAGCCATAGGCTATGAACTATCAGTCTACTGAGTTTCTTCTGTGACTGTCTTGTTGAGTAACCTTGGACCTTGAGTTTCGTTAGTTCGACATCCCTTTTTGCTCCCCCTATTTCTTCTCCACACTTGATGACTTAAAAAGGGATAGGATATGGCTCGTATCAAAGGACCATCTATGATTGGGACTCCGCCTTCTTCATCTCAGTCCCGCCCCCTTTCTTTAGACCACACCCCCTTTATTTGGCCCCGCCCCCAAAGAGGTCGCCGCTGATACGACAGTGAATTCTCCACAATCCTGACCTATAGGAGATCTGAAGGGTGGGACCGAGATCAATCGTTTTTTCCATTTGTCAAATCTAGTGTCTATCTGGCCCCGGTCCCTTCCCACTTCATCTTCAAGCCAAGGATTGGTTGTTCTGTTCTTGGTCCCCGGCTCATGATTGGTTCTTTTATTCCACCCTCTCTTCCAGCTTTTGCGGGCGGGATTAGCACGCAGCTTCCTGCTCCTGCCAAAAAAATAAAAGAAGAAAAAGAAAAGAGGAGAGAGGCGAAAGAAAATGTCACGGAGATCTTTGGTTCTTAATTCGCTTTTAGTCTTGTCGGTCAGGCCAGACTCTGCCTTTTGATTGGTCTTTCTATCTGCCCATCCCGGATCGGGGGCGGGATTTCCCCAGGAGACCCACACCTTGTTGCCACTGGCCGAACAGTGCGCCTGTCTGAAGCTCCGGGCCCAGGATTGGAGGCAGACGCAGACAGGTGGGCGTGGATTGGCTAGGGCAGCCGGTCAGTGTGAGGCGGGGGCGGGGCCTCGGTGGCTGGTTGCGCGTGTCCGCCGCTGGCTCCGCTCTATCCGGCTTTGCTAGGGGAGGTGAGTCCGGCCGCGGCGGCACCGGCGGCTGAGGAGGAGGCGGCGGCTGAGGAGAAAGCGGCCGGCAGCGACTGAGGAGAAAGCGGCCGCGGGGACGGGAAGCCGGGTGGGGGGGAGGGGGGGAGACGGAGCAGCCTTGAGCCCTGCGGGGGCCGTCGCGCGGGGGGACCCACCCGCTCTCCCCCCCAACCCTCCTCAGCAGAAGCAGCCGGCGGCGGGGGCAGGAGTCAGCCCGCTTCCGACTGCACCCCGCCCGCCTCCCGGGGCTCCTATTCTTTGGCCCCGGGACCCTAACCTCATCCCGGGGCGGTTCCCTCTGTCTGGGCGTCCGAGTGCTGCCCACCTCTCTTTCATTCCTCCCTGCACCTCCTTACCTTCACTTTGCCCCGGTTCTCTTTCTCCTCTCCGTCCTGCCCTGTCGCCTGCTCTGCTCACCCTATCCCTCCTGCCTCCTTCCCTGGCTCTTTTCTCTTCTGGAAAGTTTAGTACCCCCCTCCAATCAGGTCAGCCTGACTAGGAGTGGGGGGAGATGTAGGAAGGCCTGAGAGTTCGAGCGGGGGGGAAAGCTGGTTTCCCTGGAAATTTCCCCCCATCTTTTGAATTTGGGGTGGTTGGAATTTTTTAAAATTGTATTTTTGAGGAGGTGGTAGGTGTTTAGAAAAGGATGTGGGAATGGAAGGGGTAGATGAGTCAACCCTCTTACAAGATTCCAAGGGTGGCGTGTTTCCTGATCCTTTTCGTGCGTGGAGTTCAGGGGGTCGGGAGGTTTGGCCTTTATTCCCACATTCAAAGTTGGAACCTCCCCCCAATTAAGGATGGAGTTTTAGTACCCACTTGTGGCAGGAAACCTGGGGGGAAGGGGTCCCTTTTTCCTTTTTCTTTTCTTTTTCTTTTTTTCCTTTCTTTTCTTTTTTGGGCAATCCACACCCTTCCACACACGCTCACCCCGAAACTAAACACCAAGATCCTCTAACTTGTTTGGATTGACTGATGAAGACCTAAAGCCAGTTTCCGCTCCATGTTTTTTGAGGTGGAGTGAGTGGTTGTTCTTCATTTTTAAATGGCCAAATGACAGCTTGACCCAGTTTGCTTTCCAATCAAAGGGCATTTTTTTGAATGTCTCTTTGTGGCGCAAGAGCCAACGCAAAAATGATGGCGGCTTACAATGGCGGCACATCTGCAGCAGCAGCAGGTCACCACCACCACCATCACCACCACCTTCCACACCTCCCTCCTCCTCACCTTCACCACCACCACCACCCTCAACACCATCTTCATCCGGGGTCGGCGGCTGCTGTACACCCTGTCCAGCAGCATACCTCTTCGGCAGCTGCGGCGGCCGCAGCAGCGGCCGCAGCTGCAGCCATGTTAAACCCTGGGCAACAACAGCCATATTTCCCATCACCGGCACCGGGTCAGGCTCCTGGACCAGCTGCAGCAGCCCCAGCTCAGGTACAGGCTGCCGCAGCTGCCACAGTTAAGGCGCACCACCATCAACACTCGCATCATCCACAACAGCAGCTGGATATTGAGCCGGATAGACCTATTGGATATGGAGCCTTTGGTGTTGTCTGGTGAGTATCCACAGAAAAACACGACTTCTCGCGGTTTCTTCTCACGTTGAGGTTGGGCGAGCCATCCGCCATGGCTTCCACCATGGTGACCCACCGCGGAGCGACTCAACTGTAGGAAGCCACCGCCACCGGTGAAGAGGCCCAACGTGTTGGCTGGCCGAGTTTGTGCTTTTGAGTCCTGGCGCATTTTGGTAGAACGCCGTCTGATGAGTAACACACGTTTGCCGTCTACCAGACTTTCTGTTTAGAACCTAAGCGAGCCACGGATGTAGGATCAATAGATGAATGTGTGAAGCGTGTATCCCGACAGACCTTGGTCATCTCTTAGGTCTGATTTAGTCTGAATCGGTTGCCTGATTGCAGCGGATGTCACCAATGACCCCACCTTTGATTCCTTAATCTTAGTCTCGTCATTGGGTTAGACTTTGCATAACTACTTTGATGTCCCTTTTTGTCTTTTCATTCTTCGATTTGTAATCTTGATCCCCAGAAGGAAGATAGAGTTCATACTTGAACCAGTTAAGCCCTTGCTTGAGTGGTTTATTTTAAACCCTAAGGCTGCAGTTGGGAAGTATGTAGCTTTAGCTTTTTTGATAAGAATGCATTAAATATAGCATCACACATGAGTACCACAAATGAGGTCAGTAGACTGTAGCTATGCCGTGGCCCACATTCAGTGTAATGTTTTAGTGTCATTTAGTGTCATTTAGTGCCTCTTAAGTTGCTGTTATCCCTTGGTTGGCTGCCGTAGTAGGAAGTATACTTTTCAAACATAGGAAACTGCTCTACTTTTGCTAGTGCTAGGATGTTTGAAAAAGTCCAAGCGCTTCTTAGATGCAACATTTTGTCTATTTACTCTTCTTAGGAAGATTAGTAGTTTGTAATAAAATGAATTTATCGTTGTAGGCCCTGTTGCTGTCAAAACTAGAACAAACAGAATTTTTTTCTCAAGGATTAAGTATTCTGGTGTGGACAGATGAATTGATGTTTTCAGTGCGTTCAAAAATAGATAGTTGTTCATGTCTAGAAAAGCCCCCATCGCTACAGGAAAATGAACTCTTTGGAACTAGCCTGGTAAATGTCTCCTTTTGTCATTGTTTTTCACGCTGTAATTGACGTGAGAATCATGTTTGCATTATATCTGGTCATCTTTATTTATAGTTCACATTTTATAATCTAGGCTACTAAGTGATCTGTTTTTTTTAAACTAGTAGGGTCCAGTGTTTTCCCAGCTAGCTCTCCAAGGAGGTGGCTGCTGCAGTGCTCCCTTCTCCAAGGTGTATGCGATTCCTGGTGGGAAAGAGTGTAGCCAGTAATGGTGTCTCTTCAGTCGCTCCGCTCAGGGACCGGTCTGCTCCTGCCTTCTCTTTCGTATCCTGTCCCCACGGATTGCACCGTATCCTATCCCCAGGGATTGCACTGTGAACTTCCATTCCTTGCCTAACCCTTGAGGATTTCAGAGGTGTGGGACCTGGGGGGGCGGGGTGTGTGGACCGGGACAAGGTGGTTCCTTGCTTTAAATTTTGTCATTGATTTCCTGGACTTTGTTTGGATTTTCTTAGACCTTGATGCTCTCTCTTATTTAAACGTTGTACATACAGTGTTAAGAACTAGAGATACTGAAAGGGAAGTGGATTGCAGCATTCTTGACTATATTCTAAAGACGGTTCTACATTTCTCTCACACGGTGATGTGACGTGTAGAGTTTTCACTTCAAGTCAGGGCTAAAGGAAAAGATTTTTTTTTTTAGGGGAGGAAGGTGAGGAGCTGGGAATGCTGAAACATCTTCCATAGCAAACATTCTGGTAGAGGCTATTCTGAGTTACATATGTATGAAAAACTGAATGTTTTTGATTTGAGTCCATTCTAGATTCTGTCATTGATTGAACGCCTTCTGTCACCGACAGAGTTGGCTCCCCGTACTTGAAGAGTACCTCATTCTGTACACCATCTTCTATTGTATACCGGGTGTTTTGTGTTTGCCTTGTCTCACTACGTTCGTAAGCCCCTCGAGGATATGGACTGTGCCTACCAGGGTACTTCTTTTCCTCCGCGGCACTTTGCACAGGGCCGTGGCATGTTCGCTGCTTGATTACTTGATTCCCCGGTCAGGTCCTTCTTTCTTTAACCAAGTTTGTGTGGTTAGCTGCATTGAGTGTTTCCAATCAGTTGTTACAAGTGAAGTACAATTCAGAATGAAAAAAAGGAAGAGTTCCAGGTGTGTGTTTTAGTATGCAAATGCTTTTCTGTTTTCATATTTACATATCGATGACCTGTTGTCTGAATTGCTTATTATATTTGGAACGTAACTGCCACGTGTATGACCTGGGTAAAGTTGTTAAAACTGGAGATTTGAATACCAGACCAGAGTGAGTCGCACTAGTATTCTGAAACCCAAGCTAAAGATATTAGTAAGATTTTTTTACTTTTTAACTAACTAGACCAGAATTTTTTTTTAATTCAAAAAATATCTAATGAACCTGAAACTGTTTTCTAAAATGATTAAAATGGGACATAAAAATATTTTCCCAGCGATACATCATTTGATTAAAACATCATATAACTACTTGGGCATCATAAGATTCACTTAGATTCAAATATATTAAAAAAATTTTTTTTAAATGTCTATTTATTTTTGAGAGGGAGGAGCAGAGAGAGAGGGAGACCCAGAGTCTGAAGCAGGTTCCGGGCTCTGAGGTGTCATCACCGAGCCCGACTTGGGGCTCAAACTCACGAACCGCGAGATCATGACCTGAGCCAAAGTCGGACGCTTAACTGTGAGCCACCCAGGTGCCTCTCTAATGTATTTAACGCATTTTGCAAGTATTTTTCTTCCGGCATCCCACACAAAAGGACACTGTATCTGCTCTCATATCTTTTTCTGAACGTGCACCCCAAATTACTGACTGATGTCTGAAAACATTGCATGTAATTTTGAACAATATTGTTTCTCCTGTATGTAGACACAGCAAGATATTTGTGGAAGTGGTGTAGCATTTTACCAGTCAGATTTATAACTGAACAGTTTAGTCTACCAGCCTTGATTTATCTCTGAGCTGAATTTAACTAGTGGAATAACTTATCAGTATTGGACAGTTGTGTAAAAGTAGTGAATTACCTATTTGCTTGCTGGTAAAGATGGTGCTTTGACAGTTCAATTAAGGTTTCATTAACGACTGTCTGCTGTGTTTTATCTCAAAGTAAGGGTTCCAGTTTACGTGGTAATATGGTCATGGGGTAGCCTGAGATACATTCATTCTAATGATAGAATGTTGTTCATGGGTCATCAAAGCATCATATATAATTTGACCTTCTTTATCACATGTCAAGGCTCCAAATGTCCATTTGGACATTTTCATAATGCAAAACTGAAACACAAAATAACCCACAAACAGAAACCTCAGTCATTTGGTGAGGATAATGTTAATATCTATTTGTTGGTAGTTCACATTTGCCAGAGGAAAGTGAATATGCAGTGCTTAAAATTGTGACAACCTTGGGACAAAGTATTACAGCATAAAGCTTCAGGGGCTTATGAAGTGCGTGTTTTTGAGAGTTGGAGGAAGTTGACCACGTGAGGGAAGTTTGAAGACTGCTAAACCCAGGCAGTTTGACATTGACAACCAGAAATATTGATTGAATTAATGGCACATAGTGCCACCTTGATAATGAGTCTGGGAAAAGCTTCTACGTAGAATATTAGTAGTGTTTTGGTTTTTAACTTATGTGATTAATTGAAAGATCAAATATCTTGGGATTCATTTGGTCTGTTGCCTTTGTACTCCAAGTAAAGTTGGAGAAATTTGAATTTTATTATTCTAATTCTTTCAGCGGGTTACTTTTATGTAAGTCTTTCAAAACTTAAGCATCACTGTAGTGATACTTAGTTACTTACTAGCTGTGTCATCTTAAATTGTTTAACCTCTCTATTCCTCATTATAAAATGAGGATAATAATAGCACCTCTCCAAGGAGGACCGGTAAAAATGTGGTAATCTTTGTAAACCAATGATTACACTGTCTAGCATACAGTAAGCACTCAATGAAGGCTGTTTTTATTGTAGTTATTGTTGGTAGAAAAAACTGTTGTGTTAATGTATGCAGAAGTGGCTTCGTATATGGCCAGGTTTATCAAGTGAAATCACAACGTGCAGACTATTTTTGGAGGCATGACTTCAGATACCATAAAGTGTCCCCTTAGTTGTGCTATATGCTATATATGTGCTATTAATAATTTAAAACAAACACATTAAAATATATATAAAATACATGTTTGTGTGGACTTGGTAGGTGTTCTAGTCAGTTCATCTGCACTGTTTTAGAAAGTATTCTGGATTTACATTGTGGGAAGGAAATTAATTTTTTCTTCTCAGAATGTAATAAATGAAGGACATCCTTATCGTCAAAGTTCAGCTTTAGTGGAAGCTCATTTTACTTGTGTTTGGATGAAAGAGTGTGAATTGCTAAAGAAGATCCTAGTGAGGTGGGGGAAATATGTGCGATTTAATGAAAAATTATTCAGCGTAAATCCTCATGCATGGCAGATACTGTCTAGCTTGCTCATCTTGTGAAAATTAGAGGTACCATTTTTTTTCTGATGTTTTCCGTGGTACTTTTTTACTCCTCAAACAGCCAACTTGAATTTAGAAAAATGGGGAATGCTTTGGGATATGTTTGGGGAAAATCCTGGAGTTATGTGCATCAGAAAGAGCATACTGAAGTGTATTCTGTTATTAACTGTGTTTTACAGGTTAAGAATTTGTAGTATTGAGAAGTTTTTCTAACAGCCAGGATTAACTGCCACAGCTGGATTCTTTGGGGTGGGGGTGGGGGGGCGCTGCTTTGTGAAAAGAGCTTTGAAGAAGCAGTGCCTGCACCATAAAAAGGAAACGGTTGCTCTTCTAGACATAACAAAGCATCCGTGTGAAACTAGAAATGTGGAAATCTATACTGTTAATTTTAACTACAAACGAACTTACTTTTAGAAACTGCAGGTTCATG